TTTTTAGCAATTTCATGACTCTTGGCAAATCTTGACAGTGAAAGATTTTTAAATAAACTTAAGACTTCATTTCTTCATTAGAAATTATGCCTATCCAGTGGACATTAGGAACATAATATTTAGGGAATTTATAAGATTATTAAATACTTAAAGAACTCTGAAATCACAGGGTTATGTTTTTTTCTCAATCTTTACATTTTAGGAATCACAGCGACTAGAGGGTCATCTCTGAGACGAGGACCTTGGTCATGATAATGAAATTGTACCATTGTATAGAAGCTATTATGTCCTGAAAACAAGGATATTTTAGACTTCTTGTAGACTCAGAGCTGAGATGATGATTAACCAGAAAAGATATTGACTAATGCTTTATTTAACTTCTATAAAGGGAACCTTTAATGACATACACAAGTAATTAAATGACATTTAGGTCAACATGGAAGTTTTAATTGTAAGCTAATTGTACAATGGGAACAATATAAAAACAGAAGCACACGGAAACAATACATATTAGCATAGGTAAAATGAAGATCATTTTAAAGACACCGATACTTTATCAGTTTTCCATTTTAGACTAGGCTCTTAGACGATATTTTACTAGCATTAGCAATCTAAAGTAGAAAACCATGGGGGGACAAGACACATATGCTAAGCTGATTAGTGGAAAGACTTTGAACAGGGTGAACAGACAACAAACCTTGGTATTTAAATTTTTTTTTCTTTAGCTTAAATTGGACAAGATCAGCATTTGGAAAACCTTGTCATAAAAGAGGAAGGCACAGATAGTCAGGCCATTGGGTTTACCTTTTAATGTTATAAGTTAAAACTTATCTTTGAAATACCAGATAATAATTATTGTTATAATAATACATAACAGGATGGCCAATTTTATTAAGTTAGAAACTGATTTCTTATTAACTAAATACATCATTATCTAAGAGCCTAAAATCAGCAGAAGGATATGTGTTACAGGACCAACACCACACATTTCAGTGTCTACACAGGATTCACACCCAATAGCAATGATGGGGCTTCCTGAATAGCTATGCACCTCAGTGGACATTTGATGAAGAGAAGGAACAGCATCCCTGACTGATGACAGAGATATAAGGCCTGGATATTAGGCCAAATCCAATCCAATACATTTGGAGTAGAAGGAATCCCTAGGTCTTCACACAAATCGGGACAGAACAAGGCCTGCTATGCAAACAAAAGAGTTTGGCGTGATGGAAAGTCATTACAGGCTTCAACCTAGCCATTTTCAAAAGCCATTTATTAAAATATTATTTACCATATTTTTTAGCAATTTCATGACTCTTGGCAAATCTTGACAGTGAAAGATTTTTAAATAAACTTAAGACTTCATTTCTTCATTAGAAATTATGCCTATCCAGTGGACATTAGGAACATAATATTTAGGGAATTTATAAGATTATTAAATACTTAAAGAACTCTGAAATCACAGGGTTATGTTTTTTTCTCAATCTTTACATTTTAGGAATCACAGCGACTAGAGGGTCATCTCTGAGACGAGGACCTTGTTCATGATAATGAAATTGTACCATTGTATAGAAGCTATTATGTCCTGAAAACAAGGATATTTTAGACTTCTTGTAGACTCAGAGCTGAGATGATGATTAACCAGATAAGATATTGACTAATGCTTTATTTAACTTCTATAAAGGGAACCTTTAATGACATACACAAGTAATTAAATGACATTTAGGTCAACATGGAAGTTTTAATTATAAGCTAATTGTACAATGGGAACAATATAAAAACAGAAGCACATGGAAACAATACATATTAGCATAGGTAAAATGAAGATCATTTTAAAGACACCGATACTTTATCAGTTTTCCATTTTAGACTAGGCTCTTAGACCGTATTTTACTAGCATTAGCAATCTAAAGTAGAAAACCATGGGAGGACGAGACACATATGCTAAACTGATTAGTGGAAAGACTTTGAACAGGCTGAAGACAACAAAATCTTGGTATTTAAATTATTTTTTCTTTAGCTTAAATTGGACGAGATCAGCATTTGGAAAACCTTGTCATTAAAGAGGAAGGCTAGCCGGGCGTTTTTGGCACACACCTTTAATCCCAGCACTCAGGAGGCAGAGGCTGGTGGATCTCTGTGAGTTCGAGGCCAGCCTGGTCTCCAGAGCAAGTGCCAGGATAGGCTCCAAAGCTACACAGAGAAACCCTGTCTCGAATAACCAAAAACATAAAAGAGGAAGGCACAGATAGTCAGGCCATTGGGTTTACCTTTTAATGTTATAAGTTAAAACTTATCTTAGAAATATAAGATAATAATTATTGTTATAATAATACATAACAGGATGGTCAATTTTATTAAGTTAGAAACTGATTTCTTATTAACTAAATACATCATTACATAAGCAATAATTGTCAATGTTTAATGCTAACATTGTAGTTTTATAGAAAGGTGAACGGACAAAGGTGAATTGAAAGTACAACACTGTTATTGAGTAGGAGTTCACCTACACAAAAATGTCCTGTAATAGTTGTATCAAAGTCTAAAGTCACCAAAAACACTTATGACTGTGTGGATCAAGACTCTAGATCCTTGTAAGGACAAGTAATTTAAGCTGCTTTGCTGTACACAGACTTTTACTTTCAATTTGATCCGGGAGAAAGTATATCCACAAGCCACAGAATTAGTTGATAAAGAGAAAGTTATACTACAAGGAAGGTTAATTAAAAAAGAAATAGAGTGGGAGACTTAATGAAAACAAAGAAATAGAGTGGGAAGCCCCTAAGAGAGTGGACTTCACCTGGGAATTTACCACTAGGTATTCTTCATACAGCATTGTATTACTACATGGGAATATGTATGCAACACCAGTAAGCATGCATTCATGAGCTTACATTCCTATGACTACATGTTTCTCCAGGGTTGAAACAGCAGCAGCTGGAGGTGTTCTCAGGCAAACTTTTAGACCTCAGGAACAATGGCGGCTCATTGCCCAGTGCTCGGCAATCATCCAGGTACCTGTTCCAGCATGGACATCCACTCCCAGACATTGCCAGATGTCAGGGTTGTGAAGTGCATCAACATGTCTCTATCTCAATTACAGCAAAAAAATACGCCCAGTTCTCCATCCTCAGAACTGGCCAGGCTCTCAAAACAGAGAAGAGGGGTCATCTACAGTTCATGCCTTAGACTGCACAGGCTTAACACAAGCCTCTCCATTTTAAACCTACTTTCCTAGCAATCCTGAAAGCCATTCCTAGCTTTGAAGGTATGGACAACTGATGATGGCGGGGGTCACTTTCTCTCTAGAATTCAGCCACTAGTATGTTGTTCCGGCTCAAGTCCATGACCATGCACACTGGACAGAACCACAAGAACTCGGTGGGTTATCAACAACCAAAACTAAAGACACATAAAATTAAAAGTCAGGTGTGCTGGGGGTATAAGGGTTAGATCCAGTTAAAACACATCACTTATGTTTAGAAAGAGCCAATAATAAAAATACATTTTCAAGGGTTTGATTGGCTTTTTAGTAAGGAAACAATGAAACACGAGGCTAGTCCACGAGGCTAGGATATGGATGAGCAGGTGAAAAGCTCCCCATGAAAGTCTGAAGAATTCACACCTTATGGAGTATGGTTCGAGAAGTGAATACTTCCCTTTAGAGGAGGTTTAAACTGCTGCAGCTCACAAGAAAACTAGTGTGAGCTTGCGTCACAAAGAGAAAAATAGAAATACTGTTTCCTTTAGCTATTCATTCTCTGGACTAATAGCTATAATGAAAAGAGCCCATACTCTGTAACAGACAGATGCACAGTCGGGATCTTTGCTTCTCTGGTCCCACCAGCTGTCAAGAGAATCAGCCTGGATGTCCCTCAGCCGGTTTTCAGAAAATGGAGATTCGGCACATGGGCACATTGGAATTCGACTCTGCAATGCAGAAACCTGAAATGAAATTTTCAGGCAAATGGATATAACTCAAGCCCACAAGGTCAAACTCTGTTTCTCGTTTGTGAGGATACTCTCTTTGAACTCGTTACCCATCTGTTCCAAAACTCAACTGAATGTCCGTAGAGACCATGGAGAAGAGAGGGTCCATGAGATCTGTGGGAAGGTGGAGTGTTTCCAGGATATCAGAATGCATGTCGCAAGTAAGATACACTAGGACGTGAGAGGAAAAAAAATACAAGCTCTGGAAAGAGAAGAGGAGGAAGCCAGAATATGATTTTTTTTTTTCCTTTTTTAGAGGATTGGCCTCAATTACAGTGTTTGCTGAGTCAGCCTGCTGATAAACAGTGCCCAAGTCTCTCTTTAAAAACCAAAGCGGGGCGTTGGTGGCACACACCTTTAATCCCAACACTTGGGAGGCAGAGGCAGGTGGATCTCTGTGAGTTCGAGGCTCGCCTGGTCTACAAGAGCTAGTTTCAGGACAGCCTCCATAGCCACAGAGAAACCCTGTCTCGAAAAACAAAAACAAAAAAAGCAGGCTTGGTGGTAGAACCCTTTAATCCAGAGGCTCAGAGTAAGGTGATCTTTGTGTCCACAGCTAGCCTGGTCAACACAGCGAGTTCCAGGGCTACACTTTGAAAACTCGTTGCCAAAACCAAAGAGGGAAATGACAATATGTTAAATAGTAAATATGAATTAAAAATAAATTAAAAATCAAAGAAGAGAACTTCACCAGGACACAAGATTCAGGGAGAGGGACCCAAGGCTGCCTGCCAGTGGCAAACTTCAGGACCACGTGGGCATTGGTACTGCTGGGCCAGACTCCACCAGGGAAAACTTCAGGTGCTGGTCTCACTGCCACCGCCACCGCCACCGCCACCGCCACTGCCACTGCCACCCGGTGTTCCAGGAGCCCAAGGCGCACTCACCATTTCTGCTTCTCCTGAGTCTAGCTGTCCTCCCAAAATTGCCTGCAGTCAGGAGAACACACAGCCGCCCAAAACAACTCCTCCTTATCCTAACACAGCAGGGAAGGAGGAGGATACAGTTTCCAGGAAGCGCACTATGAATATCCGTGCTCCTCATTGGACAGTTCATTCCTTTCAGTATTGCTGTTCCTGATTGACTCCGCCCTATCAGCCTACAGGATCAAAACATTTGGGGAAAGTTCAAAGAGTCGCAGCGTAGTGACTGCACACTTGAGAAAGGCAAACGTCTATGAATTCAAAGCCATTCAGGGCTACACCATGAAACACAGAACCGGGCAGTGTGGCGGGCATTTTAATCACTCCAGTCCCGAGACCAAGGAGGAAGATCGCTAAACTGAGGCTCGCCTAGTTCAGAGAACTATTTCCAGGGCAGCCAATACTACACACAGAAAGCCTGTCTCGAAAACATCAAAACAAACAAACAAAATAAAAAACAACAGCAACAAAAAACAAATTTTGAAAAACAACATATTATCCTAGCACACTGGAATAAACATATTCTGTTTGGGGATTTCACTACATTGTAAAACAATCTCTTCTGAGATTCTGAGTGCATTTGGCCCCTCCCTGGCATATTCACTGTTCCACATCTGCCTTTTCCACAACAATAGCGCTTTAAGTTTGCTTAAAGGGCTGTGGCACCTGGTGGACAAGTAACTGTCTACATACACACTTGAATGCCAGCACTTGGAGCCATGAGCTGCCAGATCCCTGATTTCAAAACCACCTTGGAGTACAGAGCTGATTATGGCACAGCCATGACCACACAGAGAAACACGGTTTCAAAATCCAAAACAGTTCAGCCTAGCTTAATAGGTAATGGCACCTGATGGCTAAGGAGGCATGGAGAGGTATTTTTCTTCAGCAGTGTAGTCACTAGTAGGTTGCAAATGATGGAGAAGATGGCCACACATTTCTGAATACATCTGTGTACAGTGATATTCATTACAAAAAGAGAGAAAGAAATAGAAATAGGCCCATGAAGAGTCGGGTGTTGGGATCTGAGGCATAGATATGATTAACAAAAATCATTGAGGTGAAGGAAATCCCCAATAAAAAACATATATTTACAGTTTTCTTGGTCTTTAAATAACAAAACAACAAAAATGTATATTAGCATGTCTAAGACACTGGAAAGCAGATCAAACACTTGCCATGTAAATCTGTAGGGTATTTCTGGAAGCACAAAAGACTAAGCTTAGCAAGCTAATCAGTGTGAGTTTGGCTCAGAAAGAGAAAAGTGGGAATACCATCTCACCAAGATACAGCTCTCTGGACTTATATTGAAAACACAAGAGCTAGAAAAAGAACCAGCCTGGATCTCATTCAGTTGATGTCCACACAATGGAGATACAGCACATAAACTCAGTTAGTTCCACTCACCAAAGAAGAAAACTGGAATGAAATTTGCAGCAATGGAAGTAACTGGAAATGTAATTATACTGAGTGGGGTAATCTAAGCCCACAAATTCAAACACTGTGAGTTTCCCTTATACCTGATTCCATCCTTCTCATCGTACCCATTTGTTGCAAAACCAGAGTGAGCGGAGAACAGACGGAGGAGAAGAAAGGACCCATGAGACCTGTTGGTGCTGAGGATGGCCGCATAGGGACAGCGGGATGCATATGGCATGAGTAGAGAGGTGGATGTACTTAGGAATGGGATGCAGAGAATAGGAATGGGAAGAAAAGACAGCGGGGGTGGATTATCAAAGTTCGGGGTTTCGCCAACTCTACTTTGATTTCCAGGACACCCTGAAACACAATCCTCCCTATACATAAAGAAAAAATCTGAGTATGGTCATGGGAGCCTCCAATCCTAGAATTCAAGAGGCAAAGGAGGGTGATGTCTGGATCCAAGCCTATCTTACTAAACACAACAAATTCCAAGGCTACATGAGACCAAATGTCTCCAAAACAATAAAAATGTAATAATTTAAAATTACATGTGCCCTAATATAAAAGTAAGTATACACTAGAGCAATAAGTACAGTATGAATGTAATGTATACTCATGTCCATTTTCAAATCAAAAACACTTTCCCCACGAGTAGAAGGTACACTTAACTTTCCCTAGTTTTCAAAATTGTTAGAAATTTCAAACCAGCTATCAAACGCTAACAGAAAGACAGGTAATGTTAGCATTTTCCCAAAAAATTATAGTTTACCCAATTGACAATCCCAATCCCTTCTGCTTAAAGCAACCTACAACCAGCCAAACAGCAGAAAGAAGTATATTATGTTTCCATTAACCTATTTGACACTCTCAAATGCCTTTTCCCATTCAGCAAAGTTACAAATAGTTTCCAAATTTTCAAATTCTCACCACTCCCAAACACACTTACACAAAATCACTGCAGATAAATAAAATGTGAAGCAAATTAAATGTCTTTCTTCAGACTGGTAATTTTGAGGAACTGCAGAGGAAGCATTGGAAAAATCAGTTGTACATATACATAAAACATAAGGAAAAGATAGGGAGGGAGGGAGTCCCATAATCTGTGCCAGGGAAACTACTTTCTCAAGGGGTGAAGAGGCACCTGGAACCTGCACCTGTGCTGAACCTGCAATACTGCCAGGTTGGTGACACTGAGCGCAGACTGTGGAGTGAAGGGACCTGTGTGGACTCATGCCTCACTGGCCACCTTCACATAGAGATATGTCTGTGCTACTTTAGACTTTTTCCTGTCACCACCTGTAGTATTTCATACCTTTCTTAATATGGAAAAGGTACCCTAAGCCAGGCCTGGCAAAAGTAAATAAAGGCTTTTTCATTAGGCTACACCCCTCAATTCCCAACCCTCATCATGTGTGTCTTTCTGTGTGTGTAATGTTATTTTCTCCCCATTTTTAAATCGATATGGGAGAGGACTGGATTGTTCCTTCTGTAAGAGTGGGTTAAAATCCTCAGTCACAAAGAGACCAGTTGGATGGCTTTTTGCACTGACCATTTCTGAGGCAAAAGTTGAGGTTTTTGAAAAGCTGTGCAAGACTTTCCCTTGGTAATCCCTGTGAAGAGGATCATGGCCCTGGAACTGAATTGTTGCTTGTTTGGTGGTTTACTCTAGGCTGCTTCTTTAAGTAGAAAAAATTGCATAAGGGAGTACTATGCAGTACTTAATCTGCTTTTTTCTATTCCCATGAACTGCTTTAGAGAAAAAAATCAGTATTTTTAATAGTGTTAGAAGCCAGGGATACCCTGTGACCTGAGAGAGCCTGTTTAGTAGGGGTTTGTGTAGGAAATGGGAGGTAAATAGTCCATATGATGGTGATTACTCCACCATTAGAGAGAACAGGCTATGGTAGCATATGTCACACACACACACACACACACACACACACACACACACACACACAAACAAATGACAGGGTCCTTGATCCATCAACTGTACACACCATATTAGTCTAGAAAGCTGAGTCATCAGAAAAAGTCACAAGATGTAAATGCACAGAACAGAGAATGAAAGTTGCTCATGTCATACAGTGACTAAACTGTTTCTCTTACTCCAAGAATGGTTTCATTTACCATTGCAGTGACCCAGTTATCCTAACATGTGCTGACTCCTACTGACTATTTAACTGTTTGATGTTTGGGAGGCAGAAGAAATCTTAAAGAGAAAAAGGAATCCTCATTCAAAAGCAGAGGTGTAAAGTTTGCCATCAGGGGCTTACACTGTGGAGCTGGGGGTGGAGCTGGTGGAGAGCCGTTGACTCTGGGAAGGGCAGCTTGGTGTCCTGCAGGCTGCAGGTCCAGGAACAGAGCCATTTCCACCTCACTTCCCAGAGTTCATGTGGCAATGAACAGTACAACTTGTAACATTTCTTGTAATTTCTTCCCTTTACTTATGTACTCTATCTACAAACTCACACAGAGGTGAGAATAAAGGGAGGCAGAGAAATTGGTAACAGGAAAAAACTGGGTTGATGGGGAATATTCTTCTGTGTGTATGTTTCTCTTATTGGTTTGTGAATAAAACACTGATTGTCTGATTGGCCAGGCAGGAAGTGACATAGCTGGGCAGAATCTGGATATAAGCAGGGACAAGCATCATTGAAGGAATCCAAGGTAAGAATCTTATTACTGGCTCTGGATAATTACCATTCTTAGAAAGCAGGCCCCCCTGGGAAGTGATGGTGGCACCCATTCTGGATGAGGTCCTTCTAAATCCATTAAAAGTATCCCTCACAGACATGGCCACAGGCCCATCTGAAAAACAGAGATCATAAACTGGATGGAGTTCTCTCTTCCAAAGTGAGGTTAGTTTGAGGCAAGATAGCTTTAAAAATTAGTCAGCACATCATGACAGCAAACACATTGTGTTCCCTAAGTATAGAGGAAGCACTGAATGCCTTCGACCTGTAACACCATGTTGTTGTTTGGGTGTATATGATTTTAGATTTGACCACTCTATTGGATAACCAATTAAGGGACTCATACCTGATGGATAGTAATTTCTTTCTTAATAGTATTCTACACTTCTTTTTCTAAGGTTGGGACCCCATGAGATCTAGTACTTACCAATGTTAGTATTGCCATTTTAATAATCTCTGAAGGCATATTGTCCACATATTACATTTATTCCTTCTTTATTATACCAGACATCCTGGTATTCTCCTTCTTATAATCATACCACTATTCCAGGATGTTCCCTCAGACTTAGATTCAGGTGCTGTTCTGTAGCTTTAGTAAGTGGGCCTAGGATCCAACCATCAGTTAATCTCTATATCATGAACAAATGTGTCTTCCTGGGATTGTGTGATATCTACAAAGAAATTAAAATAAAGGTGTGGGCTATATTTCTGTGAGTGTACCTGTGGTTAAGAACTCAGGAATTGCGGGCTGGAGAGATGGCTCAGCGGTTAAGAGCACTGACTGTTCTTCCAAGAGGTCCTGCTTTCAATTCCCAGCAACCACATGGTGGCTCACACCACCTTGAATGAGATCTGGTGCCCTCAGCTGGCAAGCAGGCAGAAGAGTAATAAATAAATAAAATCTTTAAAAAAAAAAAAAAACTCAGGAATTAATGCCGGCCTAGTAAAGTGGCAGTGGTAGGATCTCTAAAATCAAGATATGAAAATCCTGATTCATTGATTATGGTTTACTTCCAGGCATGTCATCCACCCTGTTGGGTAGGCCTTGCATCCAATTATACACTTGCTGGCTACCAAAAGACTTGGATGACATTAAAGAACCTATACTGGTATCTTGCCAGGTTGATCACTATTTAGGTTCATAGTGTTGTTTACTTCCATTGGGTGTAATGAGACTCCCTAAGCAATTCAACTTTTGAAAGATACATTTCAAGACACCAGAGGACAGAGCCATGATTATCATGACATGCAATATGACCACAGGCAGGAAAGCCAGCACATTAATGGGAGAGAGGAAAGAGCTTACATAATGATCTGAATGCTGGAGATAGGGAAAAAGAAAGAACTGTAACACTATCAACACTGAAACCTCAAAGAATCCCCAGTAACTAACCCTCTCCAACTATACCGCATCTAATCCTCCACAACTTTTTCACTAACTGGTAACCAAGCATTCAAATATAGAAGCAAATGGGGCCATTCTCATTAAAACTACTACAGATCTCACAGCTTGGGAGTCTATGGCCTGATTCTTACACTTGGCAACTTGTACTGAATCTAATATTAGGGGAGTTAGACTAAATTGAAAGTGGTTTCCAAGTTATATCCAGCTCAACTTTTCCAAGGCTAGCATCCAAATTGTGCAATGGTTCCAGCACTATGACTTACCTTCAACCTCTCAGAGATGATCAAAGGATAGAATAGGACCCTAAATTATTTAGGGAATTATATTTTCTATCACAACTCAAATGCAGACTTCTCATGCTTTATACTAATATTTTTATTAATGTACAGTATTGGGGTTGGAGCTGTCCAAATAAGTAACATACTACATTTAATATAGATATACAAATACACACTCATAGATATATATTGGGTGCATATATCGTTGAGTATGTACAAAATATATGTTCACACCTACATTAGATGTTATGTTAAGTACATATATTATTAAAATGAATTACATATTGTAATTGGTATGATATATAATACACTTTGGATGATTTAAAAGTTTTGGTTTTTACACAATAAACACTTCTTTTTGGCTTTTTCAAGACAGGGTTTCTCTGTGGCTTTGGAGGCTGTACTGGAAACTAGCTCTTGTAGACCAGGCTGGTCTTGAACTCACAGAGATCCACCTGCCTCTGCCTCCCCAGTGCTGGGATTAAAAGTCTGCACCACCAATGCCCAGCCTACAATAAACACTTCTTAAACATTGCCAAACATAGCTATTTCTTCCCTCTCCCTCTCCGGTACTAAGTATCTTCATTTCATCCCTAATTAACATCTGTTCCTCTACAATTTCCACATTTTCCTCCTCTCAAGGCCCTTACAGCTAGTCCCCTCTCTAGCCTATTCCCCAATTACCAATGCAACATTCTTCAGGACCACAGGAAAATTACACTGGAAATGGTAGATGGATTAATCGGGGGAAACAAGTACATTAACCCAGACTCAGAAAGACATTTGCAGGTCTCCACTCCAAAATTTCAGATGTGAGAAGATAGCCCGAAGTAACCACAGAAACCATGTCTTGTCTTCCTAGCAAATACAGAAGGCAAAGTAAATCTCCTGTACAGGAATGGGTCTATATAAATATGCTCAAAGTTTGAATGTACTTCTTTCAAACTGTTTCTAAAATATTTGGAATAAATTCCAGAAAGTATTTAATTTATTGCTGACATGAGATCCAAGTAAATGAAAAAGTTTCACAAATTTTCTCTCATTCAGAATGACACAGCGAGCTGGAGAGATGGCTCACAGGTTAAAAGACCTTTTTCTTCCAGAGATCCTCACTTCAATTGCCAGCAATCACATGGTGGCTCGCAACCATGAGATCTGGTGCCCTCTTCTGGTATGCAGGCTTACATACAGGCAGAGCACTGTACACATAATATGTAAATAATACTTTGAAGAAAATAAAAACCAGCCTTTTCAATGCTTTGAAAAGAAAATTTCTTTGGACTGGATCTGGTTCCTCTGAAAGCCCCCAGGTGTTTATGGGTTTCTTTTCTATAGCTGCAACAAAACACAGTGAGCAAAGCAATGTTTAAATGGAAGTGTTATATTGGACTTGTAGTTACAGAGTGTTGGATGGAGCCTGTGATGGTAGAGCAAACTCGTGCTGCCTGAAACAACTAGAAGCTCGTATGATAATCTACGAACAGGAAGCACAGAGAATATACCATGAACATTAGTGTTTTTCCAAATCTCAAACTTGCACAGAAGGACCTATATTCACCAGGAAGCCATAGTTGTCTTATTAATCCTCAATCTGTCCACCAAGGGAACCAAGTTTCAAAAAGCCTACTGGACCATTATCAAGTGGAACATTGCTAAAAATGTTTTCAAAGCTACCAACCTAGACAAAGTAAAGACTAAGGAATGAACAAAAAACAGCCAAACAAGAAACCAAACCAGGCATTATTGCATATACTGTAATAATTTTAATCCTTCATATAGTAAAAAAGTGGGTCTAACAATGTTTCTTTCCACATTAAAATATCACACTTGTTAATTAAGTCTCCACTCCCACAACATATTATTTACTCATTTGTATTGCTATGTGTGAATTCATTTGGAAGTGTTTATATTACTGTCAGAAGACCTTTTTCAGGAATTGTTTCTCTACTGCCGCCATGTAAGATCCAGGAAGGGAACTGAGAAAATCATGAATTCTGGCAATAAATCATTACTAGCTGATGCATCTCACGGTTCAATCACATTCACCTTTCATACCTCATAATACCAGCAATTTGACCAATGCAGTGTCACATACCTAATGGTGGAGCAAGTTCTACAAACTACACTTTTCACTGTGAGATCATTATATAAGGATGGTGGACACACAAAGTCGGGAAGACATAGCTGAAAATGACAATAACTTCAAACTTAATTTATTTTAAACACTTTGAAGATTTTCCCACATTTATTCCAAAGGCTTTCACCAGTGGAAAAAAATTGCTCAGTGTAATAGGAATTATTGCTGCTAAAGCATTTTCCAAATGGATACCCAAGTCTATAGGATGGATTCTTGAGAACATAATGGAAATAGGAACTGGTGAAGCCTTTGGCAAAAACTTCGATGCATACTTGCATTAAACTTCCTCCCAATGTAAATTCTTGCATTGGGGTTACAGAAACTTGAAGTTCCCAAGGCTTTCTATAATGTTGACATTGAAACAATTGCTCACGAGTGTGAGGTCTTTTATCCTTGATAAAAATAAAAAGAACATGGAAATAGTTTCCCACCTTCTTACAAAGAAAGGCTATCTCTCCAGTGTGAATGTTTTTAGTGCTCTTGTGCCAATTGGAACTATGGAAGGCTTTCCCAAATGCAATGAAACATTAGGCTACTGACTAGAATGAAGCATTTCATGTCTGCTAGTATCACCAGAGTGCCTGAAAGCTTTTCTACAATGCTTAAAAGCATAAGGCTTCTCTCCAGAGTGATACGTTCCTTGTCTGTGGTGACTACTGGAGTCATGATTGCTTTTCCAAAATGCTTACATGGACAATGCCTCTCTTTTGAGTGAACTTTTTCATACTTGTAAAGATCACTAGACTGAAAGAACAGTTTCCCACAAACATTGTTTCTCTCCTGTGACAAATGTTATTCAAGTTAGGATGTGAAAGAGTAAATGTTTTTAAGTAACGTTTACATACATAACACTTCTATCTAGTGTGAGTCCTTTCATGATCCTTAAGACAACTGGACTGACTGAAGACTTTTCCAAATACTTACATGCATACGTTTCTCTCCAGTGTACATTCTTTCATGTTTCTCATGACTACTGGAGTCACTGAAGGGTTTTCCACAATGCCTGCATGAATAAGGCTTCTCTTCAGCGTGAGTCCTTTCATGATACCTATGACCATTGAACTGGCTGAAGGCTTTCCCACAATGCCTGAATACATAGCATCAATCCAATGTGAATCCTTGCATGATTCTTATGAGTACTGGAGGTCCTGAAGGCTTTTCTTCAATAGTTACATGCATAAGGTTCTCGGCACTGTGATTTCTTTCATGTTTCTTGTGACTAGTGGAGTCACTGAAAGGTTTTCCACAATACTTACATGCATAAGGCTTCTCTCCAGTGTGCTTTGTTTCATTTTTGTGACTAATGAAGTGCCTAAATGCTTTCCCACAGTGCTTGCAAGCATAAGGTTTCTCTCCATTGTGAATCCTTTCATGTCTCTTCAGACTACTGGAGGTGGTAAATGATTTGCCACAATGTCTACAACCATAAGGCTTCTCTCCACTGTGAACTCTTTCATGTATGTTCAGAAGACTGGAAGTGATAAAGCCTTTCCCACAATGTCTACAAGCATAAGGCTTCTCTCCACTATGAATCCTTTCATGATTCTTATGACTACTGAAGTATCTAAAGGCTTTTCCACAATGCTTACAAGTATAAGGCTTCTCTCCATTGTGAATCCTTTCATGTGTATTCAGGAGACTGGAGGTGGTAAAAGCTTTTCCACAATGTTTACAGGCATATGGTTTCTCTCCACTGTGAATCCTTTCATGTCTGTTCAGATGAAAGGAGGTGGTAAATGATTTTCCACAGTGTCTACAAGCATAAGGATTCTCTCCAGTGTGAATCCTTTCATGTCTGTTAAGAAGACTGGAATAGATAAATGCTTTCCCACAATGCCTACAAGCATAAGGCTTCTCTACACTGTGAATCCTTTCATGAGTATTTAGAGCACTGGAGGAGTTAAATGCTTTCCCACAATGCCTACAAGCATAAGGCTTCTCTACACTGTGAATCCTTTCATGAGTATTTAGAGCACTGGAGGAGTTAAATGCTTTCCCACAATGCCTACAAGCATAAGGCTTCTCTCCACTGTGAATCCTTTGATGTCTCTTATGACTACTGAAGTCACTAAAGGATTTTCCACAATGCTTACAATCATAAGGCTTCTCTCCACTGTGAATCCTTTCATGTATGTT